TGAAGAACAAAGATGTCAGCTTGTTTTTCAATAACCTCATATGTAAAAAGCTGGATAGTGAATAAGGAAGATCATAGAAGAATTGATGCTTTTGAGTTATGGTGTTGGAGGAGATTATTGAAAGTGCCATGGGCTGCCAAAAGAACAAACAGATCCATTTTGGAAGAAGTGCAGGCAGAGTGCTCCTTGGAGGCCAAGATGGCCAAACTTCGTCTCTCATCCTTTGGACATATTGTCAGGAGGGGCCAGTCGCTGGAGAAGGATATCATGTTTGGTAAGGTGGAGGGTCAGATAAAGAGAAGAGGATCCCCAATGAGATAGATTGGACAGGTGGCAGCATTGATGGACTCAAGCGTAGCAACACTAGTGAGTTTGGCCCGGGATTGGGCAGTGTTTCTTTCTGCTGTGTATAATAAGGTTGCTATGAGTAGGCACCAACTCGATGGCACCTAACAACAACAACAAGCATGTATAAATATGTCTCTGTAACTAGTAGATGATTGCAGAAGTGTACTTTCATTAATACACTTGTCTTAGCCTTCAAAAACAAAATCCAGTCAAAACAGTGGCTCCCAAGGGTATCTGCTGGGCAGTTCAATTCAAAGGAGAAAGGTCAGCTCACTATGTGTCAGAACCAACTCAATGACACTTAACAAGAACAAGTTAACAATTATCAACAGTTATGCCTTCTTTAAATCAGTGGAAATCATCTAAAATTATTTCTGCCCATCTATATCTTTCTCTCACAACGACACAAACACACACACAAAATCTGGATTCCTGACTTTAGAGATAATCTGGGCTATAATGACAGCTGTACTCTTTGTTCTATTAAAGCCTTAAATCAGTACCTTCTAAAAAAGATAAACACACAAACAAAATCATATGCATAATCCATACAACTAAGCATTTTTAGGTATTTGCATTTCAATTAATTAACATTTTAGTTCATGCTTTGGAACAATTGCTAAATGGTAGGCACTGCACATTATCCCATTCAGTCCTCACAGCAACCCTAAAATAGGTAATAGTCCTACTTTACTGTTGGGGAAACTAAAGTTCATAAAGTAGCAAAAACAGAATTTGAATCCAAGTCTCTCCAGAATCCATGGTTTTAGCTACTATTGTTGTTGTTATGTGCCATGGAGTCGGTTCCAACTCATAGCGACCCTGTACAGGGTTTCCAAGGCTGTAAATCTTTACAGGAGCAGAACGCCTCATCTTTCTCCCGCGGAACAGCTGGTAATTTTGAACTGCTGACCTTGTGGTTCGCAGTCTGATTCATAACCACTACGCTGCCAGAGCTCCTTTTAGCTACTATTAAAGGCCTTCAAACCAGAAGTGGTATTGAGGAATTCAGGGGTAACTGAGGTAAGTCAGAACGTATCTAAAACAAGGAGCCAACAGCTCCATACGTTACCTTCTTGTTCTGCTCTCTGAGTCAGCATATTCAAAGCTTCCGGGGCTTTAGGACTCCTCACCGCTGATAGTGCATACGTTATAAGAGCTAGAGTGTAATTGTCTGAAATTTCTCTATTGAATTCAGACTCCAAAAAGTTGATAGAATCTTGCACATCAATATTAGGCTTAAGGGAAAAAAAGAAACATGTTTTACTACTCAAAATAACTTATTGCTGTTGTTGTGAAGTGCCTTTGAGTTCCAACTCATAGCAACCATATATAGGGTTTCCAAGGCTTTAAATCTTTGTTAGAACAGAAAGCCTCAACCTTCTCCCACGGACTGGCTGGAGGACTCAAACCACAGACCTTGTAGTTTGTGAAGTGTACAGTGCTTATTGTACGGTGCCCCCATACTCCCCAAATAACCTATTACCACATATTTAAATAAAAAGTGCATTGAGAAGTTCATTCAAAACAACATTCCAGTGTCTATTAAGCACTTGGTCTCATCTTAGGCAATGGGACCCAACAATGATTGCTGACATTTAAACATCTGTCATGTGTTTTGAAAATAATATTGCTTTTCAGCTTTTATAAGTAAGAAACACCATTCCTTAAAATGAATTAAGAAGTGGAGTTTTTGCTAGTGTTTCTCCAATTGGGTATCATGAACACAAATGAACTGAAAACATACCTTGAGAAAAATATTTATCTTAGATCCCAAGTGTTAAAGCTCTAAATTCAGGGAATAAGCATATCTCTGCATGTAATACCGAACCAGAAAATGCTCATTGCCACCAAGTCTATTCTGACTCATGGCAGCCCTCTGGGACAGAGCAGAACTCTGGAGCAACATTAATTCTTGATCATCACGTCCCATGTACACATTCCCATCTAGGTAGTCATGCTCATTTAACATGCTTTGTAAAATGTGGGCATGCTTTGTATTAAATTAACAGACACTGTCATTGTTTCAAGATATTTTCAAAATTTAAAAAAAAAAAAAAATTCCTCCTTCACAACCTGAATTTGTTAGAACAATTTTTTTTCAAATTTTAAGCAATTCACTTTCTCCCTCAAAATTTACCTTTCCAATGATAAAATACATAATAACTTATAAATAACCAGTACAAAAGTATTTATATTAGAAAGCTTTTGTAGTTTTTTAGTTACTTGGAAGGAGTAAGCTGATATTTTTATTCTTTGTGGAGTGTAGACACAAAAAGCAAAAGGGTGTTCAAATTCAGATTCCAATATGAGGTAAATATGCAAAAAAAAAAATATGTTTCCAGATACATATTTGACTTATCACTTATGAAAATGATGATGAAATACCTGATATTTCTTATATCCCAGTAGAGCAGTCACAATATATGCTGTAAGTGTTACTGGACTGTTATTGCCACCTTGAAGCTCACTATGGATCACTCTTCCTGGTTCCCAAAATTCACCATTAGATTTCTGACGTCCTTTGAGCCAAGTGTATGTTCTTTGTAATACATTCTGATCAATATCTATGTAAGAAGAAGCTTCAAGGAAACATCTTAAAACAAAAGCTGACAACCTTGGAGAAAAGGGGAAAAGATCACATTATACTCTTCCAAATAACTCAGAGCAAGCAAAAAACACCACCACCTTTTTCCCATCAGAAGATTCACAAGATGGACTATTACTGAAGAAGGAAAGAAAGACAGCAAAGAGACAACATAAAGAGACATCCTCTGTCTCAATCACAAAAAAAAAAAAAAAAAAATCAGATTTAGAAGGAATTAGAAATCAACTTATTTTATAGATTGAGAATTTAAAACACCAAGAGAGTAAAACTGTCCCAGGTTGTTCATCCATATTTCCTAAGGAGCACTGCATTATTTACTTCTTTCAGACCCAAAGGCATGGATTAAATACATTTAGTTGGAAATCTCTTTTAAAACAAGATTAGGAGTTAAATGAAAAGCAGCTGTCAAGTCCACATGTCTGTTAATGCCATGACCATTCTGACCTAGTGAAATCCTATTCTGTGGCATGAATTTGTTCAGTTGGCAACAACACTCACCAAGTGCTCCCAGAAGGGTCGTCGTTCCCAAAAGCACTGAAAGAGCCATCTTCCCTTTGATAGAGAAGCTCTCTCTGATAACCTGAAGACACAAAAATGGACATTCAATGTCATCAACTTAAACGGAATGAAAGTTTCTTATGACTGCATATTGAAGAAACAAGAGCAGAGGAGACAAATGAGATATCAAAGCAACAATTAATATTGATTATTCTCTATTTTAGTATTGTTTGTTGGTGTTAAGTGCCAACAAGTCATTTCTGATTCATAGCAACTCTGTATAAGGTTTCCAAGGAGCAGCTGGTAGGTTTGAAGTGCCAAGCTTGCAGTTAGCAGTCCATTGCTTATCCTACAGCACCACACCAGAACTCCATTTGAGTACTGTGTTGCTGTTGTTGTTATGTACTGTCAAGTCAGTTCCAACTCATAGTGACCCCTTATAGGGTTTCCAAAAAGTAATTGATGGATTTGAACCTCCAGCCTTGAAGTTAACAGTCTGGTCTTCATCCTCTTATACTACAGGACTTTTCAAGCAGAATTTGTTTTTTAAAAAAAAAGAATGGCAATATTCCCAAATTATAATTTATAAATAAATTCAAAAGGATACTATAGCATAGACATTTCTAGCCATTCAAAAGTAAACTTAATAAAGGTTTCTTTAACTCAGTGTTCACGACAATGGCTTCATAATTTTAGCTATCTGAAATTGTTTGCTACTTAAGAAAAATACCATCTAGAGCAGAATAACTAAAGCTTAAGGCCAAAACAGATATGTGAAATACTTTTTCAGTAATAGAGGGAAATAATTAAATAATCTAAGACAATGACTTTAACATTTTTTTGGTCCTAGTCAAGTAAGAAAACTAAAAGACCAGCTGACCTGTTCACCACACCTGTTTCAAATCAATATAAAGTCAACTGGGGAGGGGTAAAGCGATGTAGTTGCTTTAGAAGTAAACGGTGGATGGTTCATATTTGCAAGGCAATGCATATAGGTCTCAAAGTCCAGTGACTGAGAAATCTCAACAAACTAACATGCTAAAAATGAAGTTGAAATAGCAGTAATTTATCACTGAAAAGCAAACATAGCAGATACAAACAAAAAATTCAAACTTAAGACTTTATCAATGATGCTGTTGTAGTTAAGAATTCATCCTGAAAACTACAGGATTTTAACTATTAGTAGGTGAGTGAGCTTAGTTGAAGATTTGCAGATTGACCAAATGGAGCCAATACACTGTTATTTTTGTTAAGTGTCGTCAAGTCAGTTCTGACCTATAACAACCCTGTTTAGAGTTTCCAAGGAGGGACTGGTGAGCTGAGCCACCGACTTTGTGGTACAAACCTGTGGGTGGGTCCAAACTCCAACCTCTCAGTGAGTACTCTTAAGTTTAACCATTAGCATCACACAGATACTCTAGCAACTAAATTGTTGTTGTAGTCAGGTGCCATCAAATTGATACTGACTCATAGCGACCCTATGCACAACTAAAATAATTTGACTTTAGGAAGCATTTCAATTAATATTCTACATACTAAAAAGATAAAAAATCAATGAAAATTATAAGCATTATTATTTTTGTTGTTGTTAAGTGCCATTCAAGTCGGTTCTGACTGTATAAGGTTTCTGAGGAGCAGCTGGTGAGTTTAAACTGCTGACCTTCTGGTTCAAGCATTATCATTAAAACTGCCCTGAGTCACTTTAAAATACTTTCGTTTTTAGATAACGATGCAAAAATACACCATGTGATCTCCTCATTTTTCAGAGGGAAGCAGGGATCACAGACAAGCAGAATCATTTTCTAATTTCACAAAGAAAATTAGAAAAAGAATCCAGGACATTCTCTCTCAATTTCTAGTTCAGGAGTAAAGCCACCAAAAAGCCAAAGTTCAATTCTGAACTCAACCTGACTAAAAGAAAACGTTTAGGATCCTCCATCACTATAAGAGGCATGTCTGTGAGAAGAAGGACCATCTTTTAGGAGAGGGCCATGTGCTTTCAAGTCCCTGCAATCACATCAACAACTGCTGTTCCAAGTATGAGACACAGCAAAATTGGTCAGCGAGATGAGATCATGGAGATGAGATCAGTGCTTATGGAAATTACCTTCAGGTGGCTGATCTCCAACATTCCCCACTAATATCAACAACTAGCACCACGAGGGCAGCCAGCCCAAAAGAGGGGGAGTACTCACATGCAATCCCCAGTCATGCAGTGAATTTCTTAAGCCAGTTTAGATAATGTTGAGAATCCAAAGCTCTAGACCAGCTCCCGTGCCAAAACAAAGGCGACAATCAGAAGCTGGAATAGAATTTATATGACTCGTGGAGTCTCCCATGAGGAGGTTTCCTTCCTCATTTTAAGTCAGTCATGAGTTACTGTTGCTTTTCCTCCAAATAATCCCAGTGTATCGGGCCTAAATTCCAGTCCATACACAGAAAAAGACATTGTTGGTGCTATTGTTATTGTTAAGTGCCATCGACTGAGTTAATGTTTCAATTGATGTTCTACATACTTAAAAGATTTAAAAAATCAATAAAAAACTCATAGTGACCCCGTATAGGATTTCTGAGTAGCAGCTAGAGAATTGGAACCATGGATCTTGCAGTCCAGTGCATTATCCCACAGCGCCACACCACGACTCCACTGCAAGTACAGTTAATACAATGTCCTGGAGTAGTCACCAAACTTGGAAACTTTTTATTAGGATGAGTGAGAAAGGCAAAACATGGTTTTCTCCAAACGTTTGTTAGAAAGTTAGAGTATCACCTTAGGTAGATAGTTTTATAAATGGCTATTGTGCTAGAAAGCAATAGCATAATCAGAACTAGAAGGAGTTGCTGCAAATTGAAGTACAAAAGGAGCTAGGAGGCTATTGAAGTAATGACCCAGGAACTGCTACGTATAAAGGGCCAGATACCCATACTTTGGAGTCCTGGTGTGGCACTGTGGGATAAGCACTGGACAGCTAACTGCAAGGTTCAAACCCACCAGTCACTCCTTGGTCACTGTAAGTCAGAATCCAAACCCTTGGTCACTATAAGTCAGAACCAACTTGATACCATTTAACAACAATCCATACTTTTGTTGTTGCTGTTAAATGCTGTCGAGTTGGTTCTGACCCACAGCGACCCTCTAGAGGGTTTCCAAGGAGCGACTGATGAGCTTGAACCACCAACCTTACAGTTCAAACTGACTTTGCAGTCTAGCGCATTAACCCACAGCGCCACACCAGGACTCCTTACTTTACTGGGTCACAAATTTTCCTTGAAATGTCCATGAGTGTAGAATTACATGATTTATCACAGTAAATATTAAAGTACTGTTCACTGAAACACACAGAAAAGTTCTGGACATAATTTGAATTGGTTTACCTAACATATCAAAATCATATATAAATAAAAAGAAGTAAATTCAGCTCCTGTGACTATGTCAATCATTTTCTCTGTTGAAAAGTTGGTAAAAAAAAAATTTCTTTACTAAAAGAAATCATTATCAACTTCTTCACTTTCTATGACTTGGAATGGAAAGTGAAAAGTTTACCAGATGTTTTTTTAAGCTTCTTCACTATGGCCTCTAGTCATACTTGTGGTGACAAAATGCAGCAACATAATCCTGAAAACTATTTTTTCCTGTGTTTATTTCAATGGAGAAAACATAATGTTCTCAACTAGACTTGGTCTGAGTCTCACTTGAAATAGTGAGCCACAAGCATGTGAATATTTGAGGAAAACAGGTGGTTTTAATCTACAATTAGCAGGCTCGGGACTTGCAGTGCTTATCAAAAACAGTTTTTGATTTACAGTTCTAGTTTCCTTTTTGACATTGAAGGACACGTCATTCAATTATGTAGCTATTGTTTTGACCAAAAGCACAAAATACATGAATTTGGGGTTAGGTTACAGTCTTCCTGGGGCAAACATGATTTAAGTAAAACAATGCACTGTTCATAAATGACATTTTAATAATATAGTGACTCATGCCAGAGCCACTTTAATTTAAAAAAAAAAAATACAGACAGACAACTACAGTATATTTAAGGGACTTCAGCAAAAAAAAAAACAAAAACATAGTCTCTAAAATGAGACACTGATTTCACAATGAAAATCATTACACCAAGAAGCTTTTGTCCACTACTTTTAAAATGTAATTTAGTTCACCATATGAAACAGTGTATTTTGAGGACCTCTACTGGGCTGCAGGCAGGGAGAATATACCATCAGCTCTTGCCTCACATCAGAACGCAGCTGACACACAGCCCTGATTCCAAACCCTGGTCTCTCTGATTTTGTCCTCTCATGGAATAAGTAGTTACTGACTTCCAACTCCTTGCCTTTTTCTCATTTTCAATTTTTGTCATTGCCATCCTTTGGACTCTGACTCCAGCTCACCTACTTGGATTCAACACCTTAAAGCTCCATTGGGAGATGGTCTACCTCTACAATTCCCATTCAGGTTAGCTAAACTGAGGCCATGGGCCATTCTCTGATAAGGAAGCCTGGATTAGGTCTCTCTCTCCCAGACTTCTTGTCAGAAAAGGCTTCCTCATTCTTCTGAACTGACAGTAACTTCTGTCATGCAGCCCCATGCAACCCCACCATCTCCATGACTATGGTCACATGAAAGAAGATAACCCAAAGAATGGGACACTGATCCCTTATTTTTTCTAACCCATTATATCATTAACCCGAAAAATTAATCTTACAGTTAGAGGTAGAGGGATGTTCTCTCTAGTTATACACCTTGCTCACAGGATGGCTATGCAGTGAACACCTAACAACAGCCTAGTAATTGGGTGACCAGGCCAGGTGTACCAAACAACAGCCCCTTCCTTTAACCCCCTTTTAGCCTTTACCATGCAATCCTACAAGTATTCCCTTCTGGTTTATACTATAAAAGCCTAAGGTCCTCATTGCCATTTGTTCCCTCACCCACAATACATCCAGTGGGAGCATAGAGCCAATAAGCATCTCAACCTTCCTTGGATAGAGAGTCTTTGAGGGAAACTGCCTCCTGATAAGCCCCACTCCATTTATCATCATTCTAATTAATATATAAGCATTCTGGTGTGGCGCTGTAGGTTAATGTGCTGGGCTGCAAAGTTAGTTTGAACCGAAGGATCTGCAGTTCAAGCTTACCAGCCACTCCTCAGGAACCCTATACAGGGTCGCTATGGTCAGAACCGACTCGATGGCACTTACCAACAACAAGAATAACAATAAAGGCCTCTGATCACATTAGTGATTAGACAGATAATTCATTCTGATCCAAAGAGTCCTGTACTATCTGAATTAATTCACTCTATATTACAAGCTCACGCTAATCTAACCCAACAACCCAAATTTTAACTATCATCTTCCCTATAGAAGCCCATTTCTTCCCGTGCTATTTTTCCAGATGCCTCATTTAAATATTCAGTGAAATATTTCATTTCATTTCATTAGTCATACCCAAGCATCTTAGACTAATTCCTGATTCTCTTCCATCCTATTCTCTAGCAACTCAGGAAACACAAGAAGGCTATGGATCCCAAAGCCAGACCACCTGGGTTCAAAACCCAGCTATACTCCTTATTAGATGGCCAAGTTTTGAACCACCCTGTATCTCATTTTTCTCACCTGTAAAATCGAAATAGAGCAGCACCCCTCTGTCATAAGGCTGTTGTAAGAATTCGCTGAAAACATTGTAAAGCACTTACATGGATTTAGTTGTTATTAGTATATAAAAGATAAACAAGCCTCTACCTAATGAGGTAAACGGGAAGAAAGGCTAACACCAAAATTGTGTCTTTACTGAGTTTTTCAATTCTGAACGGTGGAAAAGTTAGCAGAAAGGCACAACAGCTTGTGTCTATTTTGCACTTAACCCAATCCTTCAAAAGGATGAGCAAAGGGAGGGAAACAGAGAGGGAAAGAAGGATGGAAGAAAGGAGGAAAGAAGGAAGAAAAAGAAAAGGATTTGGGAATTGGAGAGTGTTGAACAAGGAATGTCCAGTCATTTTGTATGCACCATTCTAACCCTCATGAACTTGATGGAATAGCATGTAGCCTACAAATCCTGTAGACAGATAAACTCAAGCACACAGTTTTGTTTTGTTCCTAAGGTTCCCTAACAAAGAAGTGCAAAACTGAGACTACAACTTTGACTGGCTGGCATATGGAATATTTCAGGAAATCAAATTTGCATTATTACATCTTATTGAATAATTATTAAAAATTATTTTAAATTCCTCACAGCTTTTCATTGTCTCATAGATATAAATGCTCAGAACATGGGCTTGGGCCACATATTGAGTCCAAATCCCAGCTCAAATCTTACTTGCTATGTGACTCTGGTAAGCTAGTTGACTTTACTACTGTGCCTCAGTTTCCTTATCTGCAAATATGAGGATAAAACAAATGAGACATTACATGTAAGGTGCTTAGAACACTGCATCCCACATGCTATGTGTTCAACTAATGTTAATTGGTGTCATTTGCAAGTTGCAGACATTCCCATCCAGGTATCTTCTCAAAAGAGTCTTGACCATCACCAGCATGGA